AACAATCTATCATTGTGAGAAGTGTCCAAATCAGCTTGGATGTTGCGTTGGTGAGTGCGTCGAAAGTGCATATGTCTACTATCGATGCCAAAAGTTTAAAGATAGTACTTTAGTTTGTTGTAATTACTGAACATTTTTACGTAACATATGTTAATTTGAAAATTTCGGATTCGCGGTTTTCTTTTTATCGTGAGTTAAATGAAAAAAGTACCCGTTTTTTTACGGTGCCGGCAACGTTGTCCACCTTGCGATTTTTATTCTCAAATACTATCTGACGAAAACATTTCAATTTAAATTTTGAACAGGTGGTAGCTTGATGTGTTCTTAATGAGGGGCATATTTTATTTTTTCAATATTCCATACAGATTCGCGGAAAATCGCGGTTTAGGGTAGGCACACACGGTCGATTTTTAGTCGGCCAATAGTTTAGTCGATGGACATAAATGTATTAAGTTTAATGTAGGTGCGCACACAACACAACTGCAGATCAACTCGATTTTTTAATCAAGAGTCGATGTGCACTTATGATTAAAACGTTGTGCAACTATCGTACAACTGCAATAATGCCAGAGCTTCATATTGAAGCGCACACGCAGTCGATAGTTGAGGTTTTTAGGAATTTAGGTTGCGCGCGCAACTTTAGTGAGAGTTGAAGTGTCTTCTCTAGTATAACATAAATCGATTACTACTTTAGTTTCTCTGAATTATTTTATGATAAGTGAATTTATATCAAAAATTGAGTCAAATTATTTTCTGTTTTACTACCGCAGTTAATTCGATACTACACTAAATACAGTGTGTTAATTAATTATCGTACCCGACGTCATCATTGCAAGTATGCAACCAATATCACAGTGCAATACGCATCATACGCAAATCGTGTATTGCAATACCAATATTGTCATAATGGTTGCATACTTTCAACGATGACGTCGGGTACGATAATTAATTACCACACTGTATATTAAAGTAATTCAATTACATTATTTTAAAAATTTGAATTATTTCCCGGTATTATTCAACATTCAATACAATATAAATACAAGTTGTTTCGAAATCGATATGTGTGTGCATACAGCACGATTTATGAACAACTAAACAATTTAGTCGGTTATAAATTGATAATACATCGCGATTTCAAACTAATACAACTAAACTGTTTCGTCGATGAATAATCGACCGTGTGTGCTTACCCTTAATAAGAATTATAAATTGAAAAGGAACAGAAATAAGCCATGCGGGAAGAGGAGAGTTTCGTCCAAGTAGAAAAGATTATCCTGGTGTGTGTTCCAGAAACAGGACGTCGCGCCTTTATTTCTTTATGTAGGTAAGATAAAGGCGCGACGTACTGTCTAGAGCGCACCATCTTTTCCAATTGAATTAATATATGTTACCTAGAAATGTTCAGTAATTACAACAAACTTTACCGCAATTTTTTTTATCAGTCGGTTGCGAAGATATCGATCTCTAACGTGAGGGTCCTTGACTTTTGGCACGGATACTTCGAAGGCATTCGATCCACTTAACCATAATTTATTACTGTCTATTCTTAAACATATTGGTGCTGACCCTGTTGCGCTAGATTTTTTTTCTTCAATTACCTTAAAGGTAGAATTCAATCTGTCAGTGTTAACGGTAACGTCTCGGGAACTTTGGAGATTGAGTCTGGGATGTCGCAGGGTTCGGTATTGGGGCCCACCCTGTTTAAGATTGATACTATAAATTTTAGCAGTTTTGTTGATTTTTGTAAAATTCATTATTATAATGATGACACTCAGATCTACCTGTCCTTCCCTAAAAGCCATTTTGAAGAAGGGCTTAATGAGTTCAAGCGTGATCTGTTTAGTATTGTCAGTGGGGCTCGGGAATACTGTCTAAGAATTAATTAAAGGAATACTCAAATGATCCTATTTGGTTCTACTAAATTGAAAAAAAATCTTTATCGACAGATTCTATCACATTTCGCTGGGAAATGTGCCTCTTCCTCTTCCTCTCAGTGGGTCTGTTAGAAACCTTGGCCTGGTTATTGATGAGTCACTAAACTTTAAGGAACATGTTAATATGCTGTTGAAGCGAGCTTATGGCTCTCTGGGATTGATTGCCTTAATAATTCTGTTAAAAAATTCTTGTGTGACTCTTTCGTCTTATCACATTTTAATTATTGTGATAACATTTATGGTTCATTTATTGACTCCCGTCATCAACAGAAAATTCAAAAGCTCCAGAATTCTTGTGTCCGGCTGATTTTTGGTTTAAGAAAATATGATCATGTCTCTTTTGCTTCTAAGAAACTTAAATGGATGAATATGAAGTCGCGTCGGTAAGTTCACAAAGCTTGTTTTTATAATAAGATTATTACGGAGCGGAGCCCCCCTTATCTATTCGACCAAATTAATTTTAGACCGGACGTACACAAAGTCAATATCCGGTTCAGTGGTAGGTTGACTTCTCCCTCCCATCATTTGGAATTTTTTAAGCGATGCTTCTTATATCAAATTACATCTGTTTATAATAATCTTCCTAAACATTTAGTGAGTCTACCCTTGAACCGATTTAAGAAATCTTTACGGGACTGGGTTTTGGGTGTGTGACTGTGTGTTTGGTGGTCTCGGGGGATGAGATTCTTATATGATATCATTTGGACACTCTATAGTATAGTATGTGCGGTTAACTATTGTGCATGTTCGACATTAGCCTATGGCGGTGCTATGGTGGTTGTCATTGAATTTTTTAGTTTATTATTGTTTTTGATTTGGATTTGAGTGGAAGAACAGGTGTTACCTGAACTCCGCCTAAATTCAGGCTTAATGTAACTTTTGTTCATACCTTTGTATATGTACAGGATTCCCCATAATAGGCTACCCATTTTGAAATTTGAATTAAAATTTTTTTAGTTAACAAAACAAACTTTTTATTATACTAAATTACAGCTAACTTTTTGGGATTTATGATAACTTATAAATATTTGGCTAATTTAATTCTAACTTTTAAAAATCACGTCTTCTAATTGACCTCCACCAACTTCAACAGATTTTTCAATATTAGATAAAAAGTAGTTCATTACACGGCGTAGCAAACCTTCGTCTATTCCTTCAACTTCTTCACGAATTTTGACTTTGAGTTCCTCGATTGTACCTGGACGACTCGCAAACACTTTGGCTTTTAAATATCCCCACAGGAAAAAATCGGGTGCCGTTAAGTCGGGGGACCTCGAAGGCCAAGGCAAATCTCCGAATCGAGAAATGAGTCGACCATTAAATATTTCTCGCAGAACCCTCATTGAGTTTCTGGCGGTATGAGCTGTTGCCCCATCTTGTTGGAATAGTAAGGGATTGTTTAGTAATCCTCGTCTATTTAATTCTGGAATGAGGAATGTCTCTAGCATGTTTACGTAGCGCTCGGATGTTACTGTTACAGCGCGGTTATTTTCATCCTCAAAAAAATATGGACCAATAATACCAAAAGATCCTACTCCACACCACACAATAACTTTTGGATTATGGAGGTTCTGTGTAAAGATTTCACGAGGATTTTCATTTGACCAGTATCTAAAATTCTGTTTATTAACCATGCCGTTCAAATAAAAATTTGCTTCGTCGCTCATTAGGAGATTGTGAATTGCTCCTTGATGTAAATCCAAAAATTCTTGACAAAATGCTAACCTTGCTTCTTTATCTTGATTGCTAAGGTGCTGTGCCATTTGGTACTTATAGGGATGAAATTTTAAATCCTTTCGAATAATTCGATCTAAGCTTCCCTTTGATATTCCTAGGATAAGGCTTTGTCGATTAGCAGACCTTTTAGGACTTCTTGTAAACGCAATTCTAACTCGTTCAATATTTTCTGGTGTACGAATTGTTCTTCGACGTCCAGGCTTCTTCAAATCTTGTACAGAACCATTTTCACGCCAATGACGAACCCATAACTTAACAGTTTTACGATTTGGCGTGTGACCCCTATTGTTGTTATTAAACTGACGCCGGAATGCACGCCTAACTTCTTCTATCGAATTGCTTCTAATGTAAGTTTCTACACAAAACACACGTTGTTGGACTGAGTAATCCATGAAAGTTCAAACAGATGTTGAAAAAAAATGACGAAACTAAAAATAATATCGAATATTATCTCGATAATAATAATTAATAATTTAAAACTTATTTGTGACAGGCGACTACTTGATTAATAATTAACTTAAATCCCAAAGACTACAGAAGATATTCCCACAGAGAAAAACTTATTTAGTTATCTCATAGGGAATTTATTAATAAAATAAAATGAGTAGTCTATTATGGGGAACCCTGTATAATATTTTTTTTTAAAGTTTTCTTTGTACTTGAAGCCTGAATAAAGTTGTTATTATTATTATTATTTGTGCAAAAACAATAAGACGCGCTTTGCATGTCACATTTTCAATCAATATTTGTACTTATCTCGTGAAAAGTTGTAGTGCTCAGTGAGTGGGTACCAGAAACTCTTTTGTAACATGTTTTGTTTTTATATTTAAAAAAAAATGTTATTGCAATACCAAATAGTCATGGTTTCATAGAAAAATAAGTAACAGAACTAAAATAATTAGCAGTTAACAAGAATAAGTTTTAGAAATTGGATCAATCAAACCTGGCACCACCACACACGTTATGCGAAATAGTTAACTATAAGGTAAAGTACGTAAACTTTTAAAAGTTTTTAAAATAATATTTTTTAATCCCTTGTGGATTTGTAATAAGAATTTTCGCTATAAAAAGTAATTAAAAAAATCATATACCAAGATTCTTTATTCTCTATTGGTGTATTATTATTAGCTATTAACAAGTATTGCGCAGGTAGCTATTTCACCGGATTTAATTGAATATTGTATTGTTATTATAAATTAAAGGATCTCTGCATGTTTGTCACAAGTAATTATATGTGATTGCAACGAGAATTAATTATAAGATTAAAAAATCGGTAACATTATAAAAGCTAAACCGACGGCGAAGTCTTAACTATATTCAGTCGATTTGTCGCAAAATCTCGGTATTGATTTTAAAACAACTAAAAATGTGCAAGAAGTTTTTAACTTTTTTGGCGTTAATCGTGTCTACCTACGCAACTATTCCAGATGTAAATATAAAATTAAACTTTTTTATACAAGCTATTTCTTAATTTTTAATTTTAGTACGTTCCTACTGAACTCCACGATTGGATGATAAGCATGAGGAACAAATGCATCCAAGAAGCACAAATCACCGAAGCCGATGTTGATACATACGTTATAAGTAATAATGCTCAACCTATGATGGTATATTTCTAATAAAATTGTTTTTATATTTATTTTTTGAATTAATGATTTGATTTTTAGTGCTACATGAAGTGTTTAATGCGTGAAGCAAGATGGGTATATAAAATTAATGAATTCATTTTAATAAAATAATTTTAAAGTAAATTTTAATTTTAGATGACTCCCGATCATCAAGTTAATTATGAAGTTATTGGAACTATGGAATTTGGGGATATGAAAGATATCGTTATGGCTGCTTTGGAAAAATGTAAGACTTTTACAGGTACGTACAAAAAAAAATAAAAATTGTTATTGTTGTTATTTCATTATGTATAATTTTATTTTTAGATGGCAAAGAACCATGTGAAACAGCTTACAATTTTAATGTATGTTTGCAACAAGCTGATCCAGTTGTAAGTAAACATTAATTTTTAATCCATCCTGTTTGCGTACAGTAAAACCTCGATATAACGAATTAATACGGGGAAGGGAAAAATTGTGTTTGAAAACGCAAGGCTAAACCCGAATATTTCTAGTTCCAAGTTTAGCTCTAGTTATAGTTCGATGAAAAATGTACAACAATCTAACGCTGAATAACAACTAAAACTACAAATTTATCCTTTTCTGAATATATTTATAACACAACCAAATATATTTCATATGCCATACTAAATAGCAATGTTTCAGCTTTAATTTAATTTTCGTAAATAATCATTCCACGATTGTTTAATTTTCAATCTGCATTATTACATTTTGTGATTAAGATGAAAATGTGACACAACTTCAAGTTTCCTTTTCTAAAAGATATTATAATGCAACCAAATATGTTTCATATACCATATTAAAGAACAATATTTCAGCTTTAATTTGATATCAAGGTCACTTTATAATTTTCATAAACAGCCCTTCTACGATTTTTTAAGTTTCAACTTGCATAATGACATTTTGTGATTAAGATGAACATGTAACACCACTTAAAGTTTTACTAACTAACAAATTTTATAACACAACCTAATATGGTTCATATACCATATGAAAGAGCAATGTTTCAGCTTTAATTTGATGTCAAATTCACTTCTCTATTTTCATAAACAACCCTTCCACGATTTTTTAAGTTTCAACCTGCATTATGACATTTTGTGATTACGATGACATTTGTGAAATGTAACACGACTTAAAGTTTTCTTATCTAAAAATTTTTATAATACAACCTAATACGGTTCATATCCCATATTAAAGAGCAATATTTCAGCTTTAATTTAATATCAAATTCACTTCCTAATTTTCATAAACAACCCTTCCACGATTTTTTAAGTTTCAGCATGCATTATTTCATTTTGTGATGAAAATGTAACACAACTTAGTTTTATTATCTAAAAAAATTTATAATACAACCTAATATGGTTCATATCCCATATTAAAAAGCAATATTTCAGCTTTAATTTAATATCAAAGTCACTTCTTAATTTTCATAAATAACCATTTCACGATTTTTTAAGTTTTAGCCTGCCTTATTTCATTTTGTGATTAAGATGAACATGTAACACCACTTAAAGGTTTATTATCTAACAAATTTTATAACACAACCTAATATGGTTCATATATCATATGAAAGAGCAATGTTTCAGCTTTAATTTGAAATCAAGGTCACTTCATAATTTTCATAAACAACCCTTTCACGATTTTTTAAGTTTCAACTTGCATAATGACATTTTGTGATTAAGATGAACATGTAACACCACTTAAAGTTTTACTATCTAACAAATTTTATAACACAACCTAATATGGGTCATATACCATATGAAAGAGCAATGATTCAGCTATAATTTGATATCAAATTCACTTCTCTATTTTCTTAAACAACCCTTCCACGATTTTTTAAGTTTCAACCTGCATTATGATATTTTGTGAATAAGATGAAAATGTAACACGACTTGAAGTTTTCTTATCTAAAAAGTTTTATAAAACAATCTAATACGGTTCATATCCCATATTAAAGAGCAAAATTTCAGCTTTAATTTAATATCAAATTCACTTCCTAATTTGCATAAACAACCCTTCCACGATTTTTTAAGTTTCAGCATGCGTTATTTCATTTTATGATTAATTTGTAAGATGAAAATGTAACACAACTTAGTTTTATTATCTAAAAAAATTTATAATACAACCTAATATGGTTCATATCCCATATTAAAGAGCAATATTTCAGCTTTAATTTGATATCAAAGTCACTTTTTAACTTTCATAAATAACCATTTCACGATTTTTTAAGTTTCAGCCTGCTTTATTTCATTTTGTGATTAAGATGAAAATGTAACACAACTTCAAGTTTCCTGTTCTAAAAAAAATTACAATACAACCAAATATATTTCATATACCATATCAAAGAGCAATATTTCAGCTTTAATTTGATATCAAGGTCACTCCATAATTTTCATAAACAACCCTTTCACGATTTTTTAAGTTTCAACTTGCATAATGATATTTTGTGATTAAGATGAACATGTAACACCACTTAAAGTTTTATTATCTAACAAATTTTATAGCACAACCTAATATGGTTCATATATCATATGAAAGAGCAATGTTTCAGCTTTAATTTGATATCAAGGTCACTTCATAATTTTCATAAACAACCGTTCTACGAGTTTTGAAGTTTCAACTTGCATAATTACATTTTGTGATTAAGATGAACATGTAACACCACTTAAAGTTTTATTATCTAAGTAATTTTATAATACAACCTAATATGGTTCATATACCATATGAAAGAGTAATGATTCAGCTTTAATTTGATGTCAAGGTCACTTCATAATTTTCATAAACAACCCTTTCACGATTTTTTAAGTTTCAACTTGCATAATGACATTTTGTGATTAAGATGAACATGTAACACCACTTAAAGTTTTATTATCTAACAAATTTTATAACACAACCTAATATGGTTCATATACCATATGAAAGAGCAATGTTTCAGCTTTAATTTGATATCAAGGTCACTTCATAATTTTCATAAACAACCCTTTCACGATTTTTTAAGTTTCAACTTGCATAATGACATTTTGTGATTAAGATGAACATGTAACACCACTTAAAGTTTTATTATCTAACAAATTTTATAACACAACCTAATATGGTTCATATATCATATGAAAGAGCAATGTTTCAGCTTTAATTTGATATCAAGGTCACTTCATAATTTTCATAAACAACCCTTTCACGATATTTTAAGTTTCAACTTGCATAATGACATTTTGTGATTAAGATGAACATGTAACAACACTTAAAGTTTTACTATCTAACAAATTTTATAACACAACCTAATATGGGTCATATACCATATGAAAGAGCAATGATTCAGCTTTAATTTGATGTCAAATTCACTTCTCTATTTTCATAAACAACCCTTCCACGATTTTTTAAGTTTCAGCATGCATTATTTCATTTTGTGATTAAGATGAAAATGTAACACAACTTAGTTTTATTATCTAAAAAATTTATAATACAACCTAATATGGTTCATATCCCATATTAAAGAGCAATGTTTCAGCTTTATTTTGATGTCAAATTCACTTCTTAATTTTCATAAATAACCATTCCACGATTTTTTAAGTTTCAGCCTGCTTTATTTCATTTTGTGATTAAGATGAACATGTAACACCACTTAAAGTTTTATTATCTAACAAGTTTTATAACACAACCTAATATGGTTCTCATATATCATATGAAAGAGCAATGTTTCAGCTTTAATTTGATATCAAGGTCACTCCATAATTTTCATAAACAACCCTTTCACGATTTTTTAAGTTTCAACTTGCATAATGACATTTTGTGATTAAGATGAACATGTAACACCACTTAAAGTTTTACTATCTAACAAATTTTATAACACAACCTAATATGGTTCATATACCATATGAAAGAGCAATGATTCAGCTTTAATTTGATGTCAAATTCACTTCTCTATTTTCATAAACAACCCTTCCACGATTTTTTAAGTTTCAACCTGCATTATGACATTTTGTGATTAAGATGAAAATGTAACACGACTTGAAGTTTTCTTATTTAAAAAATTTTATAAAACAACCTTATACGGTTCATATCCTATATTAAAGAGCAATATTTCAGCTTTAATTTAATATCAAATTCACTTCTTAATTTTCATAAATAACCATTCCACCACTTTTTAAGTTTCAGCCTGCTTTATTTCATTTTGTGATTACGATGAAAATGTAACACAACTTCAAGTTACCTTTTCTAAAAAAAATTACAATACAACCAAATATATTTCATATACCATATCAAAGAGCAATATTTCAGCTTTAATTTGATATCAAGGTCACTCCATAATTTTCATAAACAACCCTTTCACGATTTTTTAAGTTTCAACTTGAATAATGACATTTTGTGATTAAGATGAACATGTAACACCACTTAAAGTTTTATTATCTAACAAATTTTATAACACAACCTAATATGGTTCATATACCATATGAAAGAGCAATGTTTCAGCTTTAATTTGATATCAAGGTCACTCCATAATTTTCATAAACAACCCTTTCACGATTTTTTAAGTTTCAACTTGCATAATGACATTTTGTGATTAAGATGAACATGTAACACCACTTAAAGTTTTATTATCTAACAAATTTTATAACACAACCTAATATGGTTCATATATCATATGAAAGAGCAATGTTTCAGCTTTAATTTGATATCAAGGTCACTTCATAATTTTCATAAACAACCCTTCTACGATTTTTTAAGTTTCAACTTGCATAATTACATTTTGTGGTTAAGATGAACATGTAACACCACTTAAAGTTTTATTATCTAACAAATTTTATAACACAACATAATATGGTTCATATATCATATGAAAGAGCAATGATTCAGCTATAATTTGATGTCAAATTCACTTCTCTATTTTCTTAAACAACCCTTCCACGATTTTTTAAGTTTCAACTTGCATTATGACATTTTGTGAATAAGATGAAAATGTAACACGACTGTCAAGTTACCTTTTCTAAAAAAAATTACAATACAACCAAATATATTTCATATGCCATACTAAATAGCAATGTTTCAGCTTTAATATGATGTCAAATTCACTTCTTAATTTTCATAAACAACCCTTCCACGATTTTTTAAGTTTCAGCATGCATTATTTCATTTTAAAAGATGAAAAGTTATTTTAATAAAAGAAGAAGAAGAGAAGAAAGGGAAGAAGCAGAAGAAGAAGTTCTCAGGAAGATACTTGGAGAGCAAATAAATGACGTTTTAGATGGTTTTTAAATGTCACAAAGTGAGGAATATTACGGATCTCACTAGGCAGACTATTCCAAAGGGTTATCGCCTGCACAGTTAACGATTTATGGTAAATCTCGTCGGGAACATAAGCAGAGAATCTAACTGAGATCTAGTGGGTAAATCATGTGACGACAAGCGTTGAAATATACAGTACAGATACCATGGTGTTTGTTGTAAAGAACAGTATATAACATAGTTAATATACGAAACGATCTACGATTATGACAGCTTAATATCTGTAAATAATTACGGTATGGAGTTATGTGTTGAGATTTCTCCAGGTCAAAGATATACCGTATGCAGTTGTTTTGAAGTCTTTGCAGTTTGTTTCGGAGTGTTACCGAAAGATCAGGATATGCCGTGTCAGCATAATCTATATGGGGGAAAATCAGAGAAAATCAAAGATTACGACGGACCATGGGAGGAAGGAAGCAACGGAGACTTTTCAACGAGTGGAAACAATGATAGACCTTTCTGCAGACGGATTGAATTTGAGGTTTCCAGAACATTATAGAATCCATAACCACCCCAAGGTTTCTAACCGCGTCTAATAGCTGATAATTACAAGAAATGCAATGGGTGACGGCTTTAATAAAAGTCGGAAAGAGCAACGAACCCATCACACTGCCCTGGGGTACACCACATTTCATATCATAAGCAGACGAGAGCGCAGAATCAGCACACACACACAAGGAACGACAGGAAAGGTAAGATTGACACCAAGATAAACATGAAGAGGTAAATCCAAGGGCAGCTAACACAGTGACGCTAACAAGAGATCGTGATCAACCGAATCGAACGCCTTGCTGAAATCAAGTAGTACAAGGATGGTAACACAACGTTTATCGCAAGCATACCTAATATCATCTGTAATCTTAATGAGCGCGGTTGTCAGAGGAGGGTCAGCAAAAAACCTCGCCAATGAATCCACATCACAAGCAGCCCGAACAGAGGGGGACTCAACCGTCCCTAAGGAACGCATAAACCTCCAAAACGTCCTCGGATTAGCATTGAATAGTCTCCGGTAGAAATAACATTTTTTGGCATTCCTGCATTGGTGATTGCAACGGTTACGCGAGATCCCATAGCTTTCACGATTAATAGTATTTGGAATACGTTTAAATAATAGCTTTGCACGATTACGCTCCCTCATCAGTGATCTTATTTCATCACTTAACCATGGTGCGGGCGGATGTCTCACCCTACGTCGTCTGAGTGGAGCATGCTTGTCATAGAGATTGATAAGTTTAGAGTTGAAGTAGTCAACCTTGCCATCAAAATCGGCAATTCGATAAAGCGGGAGCCAATCGATCCTCTGCACATAAAACAACAGCAAATCGTTATCAATACGACCCAGGTCGTGAACGGAAATAATGCGTTTCGAGGAAGTATGTTGTCGCATCTGCACTGCACAGTTAATTAGGTGGTGATTGGAAAATTAAGGAGCAGGGAGCTGACCATGCATAAGTATGCTGCTTGGACGAGTCGTAATAGTAAGATCCAGAAGCGAATGCGATGTAGGAAGATGATGAGTTGGTTGTGAGGGCAGGATGGACAAATTTAATGAGGAAGCAATTAAGCGAAGTTTGTCACTGCGTAAGTGATTTTTTAGCAGACAAGTATTGAAATCTCCCATCAGAAGAATAGTGTTATAATTAAAAGAATGCCTCTCAAGGGTTTCCTCCAATTGGTCAAAATAGTTAACAAGAGGAAGACAGTAAAAAACGCCACGTAATAACTTGTTGTAGGAACTTTTCAGTTCCACAAGCATGAATTCAGCCCAGTTTTCAAGGGTAGAAATCGTAGAGCGCACCTCATTTAAGCAAGAGATGATATATATCTGTAGGATCATTGCAAGTTGCAAAAGTATCACCAATTATTTCCTCTGGATAATCGTATCTTGAAATTTTAGTCTGTTTTTCTCGTTTTCTCCATTTTCTATCAATTTCTGCCTTGTTCTTCTTCCTGGGCCTTTTGCCACGTATTTCTACTACTTCAGTGTCATTTTCCTCATTTTGATTAGTTGGTTCTTCTTCAACTTTCATCATTGGTACCTCACTAGCACTAGTAATAACAATGTCATCTTCTTCATCTTCTATGTCTGTCTGTTCAGAATTATCCAACAGGAGATTTTCTAATATAACACAAACTTTTTCAACCTCAACCAAAAGTTCTTCATCAGTCAAAGCTTTGTTCGAGTACCAAAACGTACAGATACTTTACTTTCGTTTGGCTAATTTTTATATCAATCTCAATATTGTACCTGTTATTATCCTGACAAGTACCATCGGGACACAAAGGGTTATATAGATAATATTAATATATATATCGAGGTTTTACCGTATTAAGATTATCTAACTTTCATTATTTTTTCTTTTTAGCATTACTTCCTACCTTAAAGAACATGATGTCAATAAGATACTGTATTTGATTTTAGCTATGTACTCGGATTTGTTCAACTTTTTCTTCTTAAAATTAGAGATTAATTTAGATAAATAAAATGTATCAATAAAATTTCTGAGAATTACTTGGTTATTTTTTTTATTTCCTGGGTGTTTTAAACCTAATTAATTCCATCTAATTTATTTAATTAACTCGGACATTATTTGTCATTAAAGGTTGACTCGACATGAATAAGCATATTATGCATTCTTAATGAGGAGTTGAAGTGTATGTTTAAGTAAATAATTGTTAGTAATCAAATCGAGATTAAGTGAAAATAATGAATTGGTGAGAATATAAAAATGTAATCGATTTTTTTTTCATGTTAGTTTTTAACAAGACTAATCAGTGGTCATGATGATTAACCATCACTTTTTAATTTGTTTGTTTTTAGTAGTCGGGGCTTATGCAGATTTGCCTGACGTAAATATTTTTCGATAAATAGTAAATAGTTGATAACATTTTAACATATTTTAGTTTGTACCTAAAGAATTTCACGATTGGATCTTTAGCATGCGAGCGAAATGTATCAAAGAAACTGGGGTAACTGAAGCTGATATTGATTCGTATGTTATAAGCAACAACGCTCAACCTATCATGGTATTACAAAATAATTCTTTTTGGAAATCTTTTCTAACAAAATTTTTGTTTTAGTGTTATATGAAATGCATGATGCTTGAATCAAAATGGGTAAAATTTCTTTTATTAATTTACATTGATTTTTTGGTTAATAACATTTAAATTTCAGATGACGTCTAATCATCAAGTAAATTACGATGTTATTGAGAATGTTGTCCAAGGAGAATTGCAAAAAATACTTATTGCAGCTTTAGATAAATGCAGAAACTTTCCAGGTAAATAATATTGCTTCCTTTTCAGATGAAAAAACGATTTGTTTTAGATGGCAAAGATCCTTGTGAAACAGCTTATAACTTCAACGTTTGCATGCAACAAGCTGACCCAGTTGTAAGTTAATCTAATTTATTATTTACAAAATATTATGACAAAATTTTTCAGCACTATTTCCTACCATAAAAAAATTTATTGGTACGTTATTATTTTGAGGACGATTCTTTACTATTCACACTGATTTCTCTCTTATGCTTTATAGAGTAATATAGAATATATATAATGTGTAGAACTAATCTTTGAAAAGTAATAATAAAATATATTATGTAAAATAAATTTTTGAACCCAAATTGATTACAACGCCATCTCACCAACACATCAAAAACTAACACATACGTGAAGTTAGATAAATTTATCCTAACCTCAAACTACTTTAATTTTGACACTGCATAAAATACAACTCAATAAAGTTTTATTAGATTTTATTTCTTAAAATGTCTCGATCAACCGCAAGAATAGACGTGAAAAAAGTCGTAAGTTAAATGATAAAGCGTTTTAAATATGAAACTAATTAATTTCTATTAGAATTCTGAATTAGTAACTTTAACCTATGGAGCCCTGGTAGCCCAAATGGTAAAGGACTTTGATAATGTCGACGATGTAAGTAAACAACTCGAAAGGTTGGGTTACAACATGGGGATACGCCTAATCGAAGACTACCTAGCTAAAACAGCAACCGGACGTTGTTTAGATTTGAAGGATACAGCTGATAAGATCCAAAGTGCTTTTAGAATGTATTTGGGTGTACAACCAAACGTGGCGAATTGGAGCCCCGCCGGAGATGAATTTTCTTTTATATTAGATACAAATCCTATAACAGAATTAGTTGAACTACCAGAAGAGATCAAAGGGTTGAAATATTGTAATATTATTTGTGGGGTTATTAGGGGAGCTTTGGAAATGGTTCAATTGGATGTTCAATGTTGGATTGTCCAAGTACTTATTAGTGAAAAAAATTAAATTCCTTATTTTATTAAAATTTGTTTTTAGGATCAATTAAAAGGGGATGCTAATACCGAAATTAGAGTTAAATTTATTAGAAGGTTAGAGGATGCCATTCCTGCTGGGGAAGATTAAATTTTCAATAAAAAAAATAATATTATATAAAACAAGGTTATTATACATAATTCAAGGCAATTTAGAGCTAGAATATTGTTTTTCCATGATTATATTTATATTTTTAAGATTTTTTGTACTCTATTAGTATAGTGTATAAGAGTAAAAGTGTATAAATTTATTTAAAAGTTAAATCTACCTTAATTTACCTTTGTACTATGTGTTAACTCATTGCATGATTTATGAACCATAAAGTTAGTGATTGTAATTTATCAATCCCTTCTCAAAACTTACAAAGATTTACTTTTTTATGATAAACTTAATTTGTATAATGATCTAATTTTGAACATGATTAATAAACGCGCATATAATCAGTAGAAAGTTCTAAAAAAATCATTTGCCTTAAAAACTGTTTTGATATATTTATGAAATAGCAAATAATTCTTTAGAACTTCTTATAAAATGATACATGTAAATAATTGTGTAATTTACTACAATTATGGTTTGCAATAAACAAATCTACATTGAAAGGTTTAAAAAAGACCACTTTTCCTCTGCACCACCTCCCATTTTCAGTCAACAACTTTAAAACATCACATCAAGATTTGAGATATGATTATGAGTAATTAGTTGTTGACTGAAAATGGGAGGTAATCCCGAAACGTCTCAAATTGCTTAATATAAAACAATTACAGAAGAAAAGTGCTCTTTTTTAAACCTTTCATATAATTATTTTTGTTGGAAACACAATAGAATCCGCAGCGCCTCAAAAAGCAATTAACCATATCAGAATTTTGTCGAAAATATCGAACAAATAATGAAACGGTGTTCCTTGATTCCAATAAAAGTGTGCTGTAGACACTCAAATACACTTTAATACTACTAAGTACTTATAGATTTGTGTAAATTAACTCGAGTAGCGTACAACTATCTAGTAATTTTATATGACACTTATATAATTATTTACAATATTTACACCACATTGATAGTAAATTAAGTAATCTCAATACAGGATGTTCCATGTAAACAATTCATAACAATTTTTCTTGGTTCTTTTACTACGTTTTTGAAATTTAAACTATAGAAAAAAACGCTTTAAAAAACTTCTTTCCTGCTTTATTTTATAAATTCCCTCGGTACCGGTTTCGACCTTTACATTAGATCATTATCAGCCGAATCTACAGTATGTCCACGGATCGAGTTACAAAGAGGAAAAAAATTTTTATTACTGAATTTTCAAACTTATCTCAGCATAAATAAAGCGTCGGATATGTTCAAACCACTAAATCGCACGAATATTATATTTTAACTATAGAAGTTGATACAAAAAGGAACATAAAAAAAAAGTACATAAAAAAGAAAAAGAAATATAAAAGAAAAAAGTACATACAGATTCGGCTGATGATGACTTAATGAAGAAGTTTTGTAACGCGTTTTTTTATTATTAATGCCTCATTTAAACTTGCAACATGGATTCTATCAAATCAAACTATAGAAGTTGTCCATCCTGATTTTTCAATTTAAAATATATACAAGATAGCCGCCACTTGCGGTCTAGCGGAAACAGATTTGTTGTATGCATGTAGCTTCATGTGGGGGTGAATCAAGCGGGGGCCTACAATGTGTATATCCCCACAATTAACAGAACAATTATAGTTCATTCAGGGGTCAGAACAGAGGCGGCGCTACCAGGGGTTGCAAGGGGTGCACTGCACCCGGGCGCCGCCTAAAAGGGGGCACCGGCGCCTTTTTAATGTTTTCTCCAACAATATCTTATCTTTCTTTTGCAGTATTTAGACCTGTCAGCAGTAGCTAGTCTTCAGAAAGCAGTATTTAGTCTCCACAAAGCAATTTTAGTCTTTAGAAGGCAGTATTTAGTGTTCCAGACGCTGTATTTAGACCTGTCGGAAGTATCTAGTCTTCAGAAAGCAGTATTTAGTCTTCTAGAAGCAGTATCTAGTCTTCTGCCAA